CTCTTGGCAAGGAATACTTACAATACAGACCAGGAAAGGAGCATATTTCCTCGGCTTAATAGAACCAGTCTTAGTTTACAAGTAAAAATATTAATAATAACCAGAGTAAACATCTATACTGTGTAGCTGTATGACAGGCACTGCTCTAAGAAGTCACATTATGTTTATTAACTAAACATCAGACCTTGTTCTAAATGCTTTTGGTGGATCACTCATGTGACCATGACAACGACTGTATGAGGTATGAGGTAAATCTTCACATCACACACATATAATACACAAGAAACTAAGGCGTGGAGAGGCTAGTAAATTCCCCGTGCCCACCTTCTTGGTGAATTTACGAATGGAGCCAGGTATCTTGCACTCTGCAGCACGCTACATCCCGCAGCCCCCATTCTAGGTCTACTTGACCTGGAGAGAGTCAAAAATGTGGGAATAGGAGAAATACTATTTTTCCTATAGATCGTAAAGAAGGGATTTCAAGAGGAAATTAATCCTCCTCATCCTACCAGTAGAGACACGACTGACTCTAAAGAGTCTAATCAAAAGCCCACAACAGCTTAGAGAAACAGACACTTTCGATTCTCCACCCACTACAACATTCACAAAACCAGAACTAAGTCCCCATCTTCACCTTCCTCCTCGCTCACCTCGGGGGAGTGGCTGACAGGAAGAATGAGTAGAAGCAGTCATTGTGAGGAGGAAAAAAAAAATCGCTGATATCTGCAATGGACGTAGTATTTTGAAAAACTTTTTTTCTGTCCAAGATCCAGTTAGTATGTGTCAGAGCTAGAAATTCTCAGGAGCTCAGAACACTGCACTATGCTGCCTCCCAAACATGAAAATTAAATAAACACCCTTTCCAGCCCAAGAGTTGAGGAGGAGCAAGACACAAGCAGACCAGAGTTAAGAGATTTTCCTGTCTGTGTCCTGGAATGGGGGCGGGGCAGTTACTAAGCAAGGGTCACGCCAGCGTGGAGGAGGAAGGGTCCTCTCCCAGTCCCTGTTGAAGTTTCTTGTCAGTCATCACCTCAAAGGCCTCCCCACACACCAAGCTAGGAGTGTCTTCATCAGGTAAAGAACACTGTGTAAAACAGAGCTGAGAAAAGAGAAGGGATCTGAATCTACCTCCACAGAATCTCCTTCAGCCCGCATATGGTATGGCATCCATGGAATTCAGAAATCCCTGCGTGTTCTTGTCCTCTGGAATGATTCTGAAGGCAGTAAGAGAAAGAAAACACAGCTGCTGAGGTCCAGAACTGAACTGGCGTTCACAACCAGACCTCAGTGTGATCACAAGCTGGTCTAAGTCACAGTCAAGCCAGTTTCTTCTACTTTTGGATACAGATGATCTCCCAGAATATCGTTATCAAGCGAGATGTCTCCGAGACCACGATAAAGCAAGACAAAACAAAGGTCACTGTAGAGCACAAAACACCCAACACCCCCCTGTCGCTAAATGAGCGACTGCCACTCCTTTACCATTGTAGTCTAATGCTTGCTGGTCGTCTCTTTCCTATAGACAAGATTTCCTGCAATACTCAATCACTGGCTTGCCTTTGCTCTCTGACAACACCCAACTAGAAGAAGCCTCTGCTTCCTTAGACTCTCCTCCAAATTACCCAATAAAAAGCCCAATTCCTGTAACAGATTCTTTCAAGCACCCTTTTACTGAGACACTTCATGGTTTCCTCACCACAATGAGAAATATATCCAACTTTTTCATCTACAAGTGCATTCCTGCTTGTGTCTAGCTGACAGACACTGACGGTAGGCAAGGATGGTTGGCAAGATCTCCAGAGAGTTGCCATATTTAGGGGTGAAGTGGTTTATCAGTTACCTTTTGCTATATAACAACATCAAAAAAAAAACACAAAAAAAACCCTCAATGGCACAAAACAGTAAGTGTTTATTGCTCATGAATATGGTGATCAGGTAGACTGCCAAGTTGGGCTGCACTGGCTCAGATTTCTGGGCTAGCCTGACTCTGGCTGACCCAGGCTAGGCTGGGCTGGGCTGGGTTTATTAGTCACTTCAGCTTTGTCCCAAGTATGTCTCATCTCCCAGCAGGCTAGCCTTTCCATCATCTCACGGGGATGACAGGGGCACACTGGAGCAGTAGGAAACACACACGGTCCCTTGAGGGTCTAGGCTCAGCAGAACTGTCACGTCACTCTGCCACAATGAAGAAGAGAACCTGCCTTTACAAGTCTCTAAGACAAGCCACAAAATTATATTAGATTTAGGGAAGAGCTGGGGAGCTGTGGGGAACAGACCCCACCTCCTTAGTGAATCCCAGCGGGCAAGTAACACAAAGCCATAATTCACTAAAGCCAGAAGATGCTTCTCCAAGGATTCAAGCCTTCTATTCTACCCCAAGTCTGTGTACGTCTCTGCCCCGTATTCTTAGGTACTTTCTCACAGTGAGGAGTCCAAGCAACTGAGAGACAAAATATTTATTTTCTAAACAGAATTGGCATTACCTAAGGGAAAGATTTAAATGATTAGTATGGA